AGTACGCTCTGAGCGAAAGTATTTGTTTGTTGTGTAAATTGTGTATATCTATCAATCCTCTTCCCCCTTTTTGGCGTGGTAGTGTAAGTCTCTGTATGCATGATTTTGGATGATGTTTTCTGTGTTTAGTTAGAACTGTATTGAGTGTGCATTGTAGTTTTTTGATGTCAGTTTTTGACCATCGTATAATTCCGAAAGAGTATATGAGAATAGCTATTGCAAATGTGTTGATGGCTTTAATTGTGTTTCTGGAGTTGAGGTTGGTTTTTAAGGTTGAGGCGATGTGAGACTTTCTTGAGCAGTTCTTGTTTTGTAATATTTTGTTGAATGCGTCTGGACTGTTTAAAACCTAAGTATGTGTATGTACTGTGTTCATCCATTGGTTTAATTGATTCACCTGAATTGAGTGTGTAACTATTGCTTTGAATCTTGCCTTTTATAATAGACAATATTTTGCATTTATCTACTCCAAATGACATACAAATATCTTGAGAAAATTGTTGTGTTGTGTCTGCTAGCTGGAATAGTATATTTTTGTCTGCTGCATATAACTTAATGTCATCCATGTACATAAGGTGTATTAGGGTATATTGCGTGTTATTGTTTTTCAATGTAAATCCCATGTCAGTATTATTTAGTACGTGTGAAAGTGGATTGAGGGCCATGCAAAACCACAGAGGACTTAGGGCATCGCCTTGAAATATACCACGTTTTATACAAATTGGCTCAGTAGTTACACTCAAAGAGGATTGATTAATTTTAAGCACAGTTTGCCAAATTTGCATAGAAGTTTTTAAGAAAAGTTTCAGTGTTGGGTGAATTTTATACAGATTTAAGACATCAAATAACCAGCTATGCGGTACTGAATCGAAAGCCTTTTGGTAATCGATAAACATTCAATGAATATTTTTCTTGCTCTTAACAGTGCTGTTCAAAATAATTGCATCAATAGTGTTACGGATCGCCGTAACGCTGTTCGAAAAATGAATGAAACGCGTTGGTCTTGCTTAAACTGGAGGCAAGCGGCGGTGAGGAGGAACTTTTTCTTTTCTTGCTGCTGTTTTCTTTTCTGTGGCTGGAGAGCAACTGCCGACCGTTCCGGCCGGCCCGTCTTATATACGATTTGGCCATTGCTGGCCAGCGGACCCTTGCCTCACCCCCGCGCCTTTCTTTATTAGGTAGATTTCTTTTTTTTTTTTTTTTTTTTTTTTTTTTCTCTTTATTTATTTAGGGATTTTTATTTGTTAATATGTCAATCCCATTATAACTAATTTAAAATCTATACATTTATTATTAATCTGCACATACTCAATGCAATATCCGAGGTGGGGGCATGTAGAATGCCTTGCGCAATACCCATATTGTACATATTTATCTTATAGGTCCTTATAAATAATTCCCTTGCCCCTCGGTTCCGCTCACATTCCATTAAAAAATGATGTAAGTCTTCTATTACTCCACACGTTTCACAATTAGGTGAATCAGTTTTTTTCATCAGATAAGAAAATTTTTTTGATGGGATGTGACCTGTTCTTATTCTAAACATTATTTTAATAATATTTCTATTTATTTTTGTATCTATAAACCAGGGTATTCGGGGTGGCTCACTCTGTATCGTTTTGTACCAAATACCTTTAGTTTTGGAGCGTTCATTGAAAAACTCTTTCCATTCGGTATGACATAAATTTCTGAATTTTGGCAGTACTTCTGAGTAACAGGGGTTAATATTATACTCTACACCATTTACACAAGCAGAATTCGCTAATCTATCTGCCTCCTCATTACCCAATAGACCAATGTGTGATGGAATCCATTGCACTTTTGCACAGATATCGCGTAGACTGAACTCATATAGTTGGGAAAGTATGGTATAGGCTATCGAAACACCTCTGGTTCCAGAGGCGGATCGAGCCAAGTGTTGGATAGCAGTTTTGCTGTCCGAGTATACAATAATTTTGTCCCAGTTATAGCTTGCGGCATACCTTAGGGCTTCGGATATTGCAATGAGTTCAAGGGTCATAATACAAACGTCATTAGTAACTTTATAACATCTAGAAATTGCTCGAGATGAGTCGAAAAAAGCTGCTCCTTGCAACTTAGCACTCTTTGATCCATCTGTGTAGATTTTATGCCAATCGTGGTATTTATTTTCAAGTTCTTCAATAATATTTAGTTTAAGAGAATTTTTTTCATATAGTTTTTTGGATTGTTTTACAGACTCTAATTTACTTAATAATATATTTTCAATATCAATGCGGGACAACCAAGTGCTAAGCGAAAATGATTCGAGAAAAGGGGATGATTGTATATTCATAATTTTAGTCTTATTATAAGATTTAACTAATAGTGGGATTTTCTTGCGTTGCCAATATCTTGTTTCACAGAGAGTGCTAAGTTGCTTTAAAGAATTAATTGTAACATTATTGGAAAAAGAGCTGGCTTTTAAAACATATTTATAAGCTAGATATAGTCTTCTAATATGAAGTGGAGGTACGCTTAGTTCGCTTTCCATTACATGTATTGGAGAACTTTTGATAAAACCACCAATAACCCTTAACGCTTTATTTTGTATTTTATCTAATTTTGATAAATGGACATTAGCGCAATTATCAAATAAAAAACTACCGTAATCAATTCTACTTCTTATTAACGAAATATACAACTGACGAATATGTTTGGGATGAACTCCCCAAGATGGCCCAGACAATACCATTAGTAGATTTAAAAACTTATTACATTTTTCTGTAATATCATTAATGTGTTTGTTCCAGAGTAGGTTACTATCTAGCCACAACCCCAAGTATTTAAAGCAATTTAGGGAAGTCAATGAGCGTTCGTTAACTGTTACATTAGGCAGAAATCGTCTACGTCCTCGACTAAACAGGCATAACTTTGTTTTGTCAGTTGACAGCTGTAAACCTAGATCGTTTAACATTTCCACTATACAATATAACGCATTATTGATCTTTGACTCACAAATTTTTATATCTTTGTCTTTTATATAAATAACAAAGTCATCAGCATATTGAATAATGTTTACGTTGTGTTGTGATAGTAAATGGCAAATTCTATAAGTCGCTATATTGAATAGGAAAGGGGATATTGGGTCTCCTTGTGCTAATCCTTTATTTGTGCTTCTTTTAAGTACTTTATTTTCAACTTGAGATTTTACCCATAAATGTCTTTCGCTTAGGAATAACCATAAATATGTACAGAACTTACTACCAACTTGCAATTCATCTAATATTTTTAAGACACTATTTATATCAACATTATTATAAGCGTTTTCAATATCTAAAAAGCAAGCTAACGTGGGTATATTTTGTGTAAAACCAGTTTGTATATATGTTACCAAGCGAGACTGACAGTCCAAGCAAGATTGTGATTTCCTAAATCCAACTGTCGATGGCGAAAATACGCAATTTTTTTCAATGAACCATTCTAGTCGCTTTAGCATCATAATGTGGAAAGTTTTACAAAGACATGACATTAAGGAAATTGGTCTCAGTTTATCATCAGAATTAGATGGGCTACTATTTTTTGGTATAGGTATAACCAGCACATTACGCCATTGACTTGGTATATTTCCAGACCTGAACACAAGGTTATAAAGCAATAAAAGAAATCTTTTTGCGATATCGGGAAGATTATAGATCATACTATATGTGATTTTATCATCTCCAGGAGCAGTATCTTTTTTTTTAAGACAACTTTTCAATTCTTCCATTGTAAAATCAGTCTTTAATGAAGAATTTTTAGATATAAATTTTGGACATACGTCGGTTGCAGAATCTGGTGTGAGCGAAAGTAGAAGTTTTTCTTGCTTATCTAACGGAATGAATGATTTTTGTTTACGAATACCTTTTATCCATCGCATGCGCTGCCACATGTTTGATATTGAAATTTTTCCATCAATTGACTCGCAAAAGTTCTGCCAATGAGTACGTTTTGCCTCTGCTATAAGTTTACTGGCTTCTTTAGTTTTTGCTTCTAAGTGAGTTAGATTGTTGGGAGTCGGATTACGTCTAAAATTCCTAAGGGCTAATCTTCTTTGAGCAATTACTCTAGACAGGGCAGGGTTCCAATAATTTCGGGGTTTGAATTTTGTTTCTGGATCAATGCGTACTTTTATAGTAGGTATACTAGCATCGGCCGCTTTATCAAGTTGAGCAAGTAGAAAATTATACATTTCTTGAATACATGTTTTATCATATGTATCAATATCTAATAAATCAACGCTAAAGGATTCTTTAATTTTGTTAGTATAGGCTATCCAATCAATTTTCTTAAAATTACGTTTCTTAATGCTATTATATTGTTTTGGGATATTAGTACTTAATTTAATTAAAAGGTGATCGCTCCCTAGATTTTCATTAAGAACCTTCCACACGAAGTTAATGGCAATATCATTTGATACAAAAGAAATATCTGGGGAAGTTTCTTGTAAAAACCCATTGACAAGTTTAGCTCTCGTTGGCATTCCATTATTAAGAGAAAGATAACCATATTCTATCGATGAGTCTACTAATTGCACCCCTCTTGCATCGGTTTTGTACGACCAATTGCTGTGGTGTCCATTAAAATCACCTGCTATTAATGATTTTTTTGGGAAGAAGGAAAATAGCTCCTCCCAGTCTGATGCTTGAGTTCTAACTGATGATGGACAATAGACTGATATAATATTTTGTAAGAACTCACAATTGTACAATTTAACACACACAATTTCTATGTTTGGGTTAGTTAATCTAATTGTACTTATTACGCTTTGAAGTGAGTTGTGTGTAACGATTGCAACTCCACCATAAGAGTCATATCTGTCCCGTCTATAAATATTATAATCTTTAATATTAATATTATCATCAGTATTTAACCATGTTTCACTTAGTATGGCTATGTGTATTTTTTCTTTTATCAAAAACTCCCCAAGATCTATCAATTTTGGTTTCAAACTTTGTGTATTCCACTGTAATATATTAATAGCGATATTTTTGTTATTTGTACTATCCATGATTCATATAATTTAAAACTGTTTCATAAATTTTTCGTCCCGATATTAAACTACTCACAAATGTTTTAATTACTTTAAAAATAGCCACGAAAACCGCAAAAACTTTATCCTCATAACTTTTCCTAGAGTACCAAATAGAATGAATTTTTAATAAGAGTCCCTTAAAATCAACTGTTTTTTCACTCATTTCTTCTTCGTCTGAAGTACTTTTTTGGCTTTCTTCTTCCGCTTCCTTAAACTCAATATCATTTTCTATCATATTTATTTTTTTCTTTTCTTTTCTTTGTCTTTGTTTTTTCTTTTCTTTCCTTTCCTTTTTATTTGTTTCTAAAGGTGTTTTTCCTTCCTCTGAGGCTGGTTCTTGATTATTTTCATTATGAACTTGAGCGTCAGCAACAACCTGACTATAACTTCGAGAGCCACGGTTTTCCCATACTTGTGTAGGCTGTTCTGTCATCTCTTGATTGACAAAAGTATTTTTAGAGTGCATATTTAAGTTTTCGCTCATTTCTATTTGACTTTTATTTATAATCATTTGTAGAGCTTTTCTGTAAGTTATATTTTCCTTACTCATAGTGATACGTATTTCTTTTTCTTTGAGATACATAGGGCAACTTTTATCCAAAACGAAATGTAATCCTTTACAATTGAGGCACCTGTATGTTTTTAGATCACAGTTTATGTGTTCTGTACTACCACATTTTGGACATAAGATTTTTTTAGTCGGGCATGCTTTAATAATATGTCCGAATTTCCAGCATCCGGTACATTGTGTTACTGGAAAAGTGTAGTTTTCCACTTTGAAATTATACTCATATGCCGTGACATAAGGAGGTAAAATAGTGCCTTGAAAGCATATCCTTACAGTTTCACTTTCGACCCACTTGCTATTTAAATCTAGTCGTTTAAGTCGTCTTACCGCCAATATTTTGATATCACTTTTCAAAATTGCTAAAATATCTTCCTCAGTAAACTCCAAATCCACACCTCTGATCAATCCATAAGAAACCGTGGTTTCAAACGTTTTTTGACATTTGTACTCTAAATCTTGAAATTTTTTACAACTAATCATTTTTTCCGCATCATTATCACTTTGAAAACAAATCAAAACTTTGAAAGGAGACTTATATTTGATTGTTTCAATATTCTGAATATTCTCACTTCGTAATAATTTAGCTAACGCCATTTGTTTTGGTAATTCTTTAAATGATGTAACACAAACCTCATATTTAGATCCGATTTCTTTCGATGTTGTCTTTTGTCCCTGTCCTGTTGAAATACTTCTTAAGAGTCGTTTCGGTCTTCTTTTCTCAACTGTCACATAATCATCTTCGCTGTTTGTATCTTCTTCACGTGCTTTTCTCTTCTCCGATCTCACTTCAGATTTTCGGGTAGTGAACCCAGAGTTCGCCTGTTCCATTTTAGCCACACGAGTTATTCTTCGATCTTCAATTTGCTTTAGTTCTAATTCACATATACGTATGACTTCCGAATCACTTCCATCACTTCTGTCTATCGATTTATCTTTATCACTATCCATATTTAAACATGAGGGTGGTCTTTTGTTGAAATTACCGATGACAGATGGGGAGGAGTATTTATTTATTTACGTTTATACCAAACCAAATCTAAGAAATGATCGAAATTTTATATTAAAACACTTTCATTATATGTCATAAATTTGACACAAAAAAAGGTAGATTACATTAGTTTGGTAGATTTCTTACAAACTAATGTACAGACTTAAATATATAACATTCTTACAACTACTTATTAAACTAATACTTACATAACAATTTTTCTATATACTAAAGGTTACAACGTTGTTTTTCCAGCAATTTTGAGCTGAGGACCCTGCCCCCCGCCTCAGTACTATAAATATAAAACGTCGTGGCGCGGCGCGCGTAGCCTCATTCGCTCCGCGGCCGCGTCACGGTAACATGCCCTGTTTATTATGTTTCGTGCCTAAAGGCTTAATATATAAGAAACTAAATTGCACTATATAAAAGAATACAATTTACATATAATACTTACTCTATAATTTGGCATTAATTAATTTCTATATTCTAAATCTATGTTAACTCTCGCCAGTTGTTCGGTGCCTTTATTGCGAAAGTTATTACATAGTTACAATACTATTTATTAAAATAAAAGCTATATTTCTCAATATTATTGCTACGGCGTTTCCCGCGTTGCTGTGGGCAACCACCGCTAGTTGTGGAACCGTGAGCGCGACCCGACGATCATAACATCCTCATGGCTCCGCCCAACGCCCCTTGGTTGTTCAACTAGCGATGGTTACGACAAGCAATCCGTAAGTCATTTCGTTCGACGTATTACTATGTTTGCGTTGTGCACAAATAGTAAGTTGTTCTTTACATCCTTGGCTATTCTTACGGCATCCCTTTTGTTGTTCTGCTAGAATATTATTTTTGGTTAAATGTTCATATACTATTTCGCTTACGCAGGCTGTTAATATTTTGTACAAGGTTTGTAGACAAGTAAGTGGTCGGTATTTCGCTGGATTTATGGTGTCATTCATGTCTTTGGGTATCATATATCTTACTCCGTGCGTTATGTATGTTGAAAGTAAATGTGGTGATTGGATGAATGTGTTTAAGTGGTTATGTATGAATGAATATATGCTGGTGAATTTCTTATACCAGCAGTTGTGAACATTGTCTGTGCCTGGCGATTTCCAGTTGTGTGTGCGTTTGAAGACTTCCATAAAAATGTATTTATTGGTATAAATTCAAATTTCATTTCTGGGACTTCTGGTATTGCCTCGTTAATCCAGTCTGCGTGATTATTATGCGATACTGGATTTTCCCAGATGTTGGCCCAGAATTCTCGCAATGTGTCAGACGAAGGTGTCTCCAGATTTTGGTTGCTGGTATCTCTGTTATTAGATGTAAGGTTTCTATAAAATAATATTTCATTGTTGGTAAATTTTGTGTTTTGTTCTTGGCGGTTCGTACATGTTATATATCTTTTAAGTCTACAGGATGCTGCATTTAATTTTTGTTTTAAAATGTCCAAAAAGTGTTCTAGTTCTGTGTTCTAGTTTTCGTTTTGTGCGTGTATTTGGTATTTTCTCTTTATTTCTTCTACTGCAGCCACTACTTTTTTACTTCTGCTACCGTTAATGAAGTGTGTCAGTCTGCCTATGTGTACTCTTAAATTTTCGATTTTCTTTCTAATCTGACTTGCCATGGTGGTTTTTTCTTTGTATATGCTCGTCTTTCATTTTGTGTGGAGTGTGATATTTTAGCCCCATTGCATTTAGCTGCCGTCCATGTTGCAATGAAATCGGTGTGTAGATTTACGTTCTTAGGAAGAATGACAGAGTTTATATAAGTTACTATAGCAGTGAACTTTCTAGACGATTTCTGCTTGGGAATGTATGGTCTGTTAGTGGGATGTGTATCTGAAAAATATTGTTGAGCTTGTAGAAACATGTCTTCTATTTCCGAGTTTATTTCTGGAGAAGCATCAAAGTTAGTTTGCAGAGGACCAAATTGATCAATATATGTGTTACTTAAGATATTTTCACCATTTGTATTCAAGAGACTGTGCGATACGATGTTAGTCTGTGTGTTATCGTTGAGGGGTATTTTTGAAGCCAAGGTGTTTGTAGGTGTGTTAGAGGTGTAAGTTATTGTATGTGGAGTGTTTAGTGTATGGATGTATTCATCAGGTTGTTCTAAGTTGTTTTGCGGTTGTGTGTTCCAAACTTCAATATTCATGTATTCAGTATTTTTTGTGTTAGTGTTACTATTCCTTAATTCTGTTGTTACCTGGTTTTTAATTTCTTCTAGTCTGGTACTGTTAATATATGTGTTATTAATAATAGCTCTTGTTTGATCAGATAATCTTTGCTCTGTTACATGTGCTAATTCTGGATATGTGTTTATAAATTCTTCATGTAGACGTTTTCTATAGGTTGTCTTATTTGTTTCTAATTGTGTGACAGTATAATATATTTTAATTAATGCTTCATTATATTCGTTCATCCACTTCATGCGCTGACTGGGTTTTATTTTATTTGGTGTTTTATATTGTGTGAAGTGTTGCTGTATTTGAGTGTGAACCACTTGTAATTCGGCTCAAACTTCCACATAAATCTGATCTATTATGTTCTGTGGCAGTATTTTTTTTGAACTATGGCTCTACGCTGGCCATCTATTCTTTGTCGGCTTACTTGCATAGTTGGGTATATTTCTAAAAACTTAGTGTGAAGTGTGTACATATTAGTAAGATGAAGATAAGTGCGTAGGATGAATTTATTCATTTCAATACTCCATTTCCTACAGTTGTTGCAGTGCTAGTAGTGGGTACAGTTTCATCGACAAAATTTGTTTCCTGTACAACATCCACTGACTGTATACTGAATGACGATGATAATGTCGTCGGGTTGATGCAAAATGATCGTGATGATGATGGTATTGATGGAAAAAGAGATGAGGATGATGATGACTTGCAATGTGAAATTTCATCATCTATCTGAGGCAGGTTAGTGTTAACATGTTTTTTTGTTTTTGATATAGTAATCATATTATTCCCACGAGTAGCTAGAGACTTATAGAGTCGACCGCAGCAGAGCTCTGCTTTCACTGCGGCAAGGGTAAATAAAACTGGAGGTCCCCTATTATCCAGAGTTGGCACACTATTGACTAGCACTCTCCCGTATCCATGCAGCCCTCGGCGGCATGTGCGACCTTGGCTTGGGTTGTATCTCTTTTAGTCTGGCACCTCACCCTAGATCTATCTAGGCATGAGTAAACTCTACTGGCATAAATCTAGAGTTCATTGGAGCACGCAAGACCCACCACGTCGTCAACGTAGAGATACAATGGTGGGTATTATTATTATTATACTTTCTTCGTAGGTTTTATCAGTTTTAGTTAAATCGGAACATACTGATACCAGCAATGATGATTAACTTATGTCAATTTGTCTCAATGGATTTATTTTTTATCATCAAATAAAAACTTGCGTAATTTAACAGATACGTGGTATATTGAACAGGATTTAAACCAGCGTATTCGCTGCCGCGGCTCTTTACAAAACTTTTTAATGAAAGACATACAAGGCTGGATGGTATCCTTTCTAACATTACAGCAGTTGTATAACATAGCTTAGGCAAGTAAATTGTTTTTATGCCTTAAGGCTATTTCCTGCTTTCACATGAAAGGTCGTGAAAGAGCTACTCAGGGAAGAGTGTGTTTTATGTATTCATTTCTTTTTTTTTTCAAATAAACGATAGTAAGACTTTTAACGACACCTATAAACTGCAAACGGAAGAAAATCAAACACACCCTAACATATTCCGGTAAACATGGAAGTAGTTAATGTTTTGTAATAAGTGCTTTTATGATTTTTTATGGAATCGCTATTGTTCTTAAATCTGGGAATGTCTAGGGATGAAATGTTCACAAAATCTGATACGTTAAAATGTGAAATGATGGATATTATGAAGCACTCATACTTTATTAAATAAAAGGGAATTATATTATTCCCCGAATTGATCCTTCAAAACGGAATTGTTTAATCTATATAATTCGTTGGAGTACTGAAACCGAAGAAGACACAACAATTTGATTGTAATTAGACAGTCATATAACATTTATTAATATGCATGTTTATAAACTTTTGAGTCTATTAATGGATGTAAACCAAGCCATATAGGCTTTTCTAAGAATGCATTATTTAACGACTTGGTAAATTACCTAATAGGAAGTTAGAATATTTTCACTATCTAACATTTGCTATATATATACACACAGCTTGTTATCCTGTAACATAAAACATATTGTGCCCACACTATAGTGCGAATATTTCTCTATTCCAGAATACTTGTTAGCTTTGTAAAAAATATAATCTTAAAGTGTTATACTTAAAGTTTACACTTACTGCCTTGTTGGTGTTTGTAAGAGCGACTGCTGATTGTGCAAACTATTTTCCTTAGATTCTGTCATGGCAAAAGGCCAAAGCAATAATATTCTGACTCCCGCAACTATACTTGTTAACAAGAAAAACATAACATAATAAGTAGCATTTCTTCCTTAATGCAACACCTTTAAAAACATGACTTGTGCAATTTAAATAACTTGACTGTGTTATTGTACTTAACATGGAAAGAGAAAATTATTTATTTGACAGTTTATCTACGGTTCTTACACTATGCATACAGTCATTAATATAGTAACAGAATACATACATACATAATATATACATGCATAACGTTACGCCTGTAATCTCCCAGAGCGTAGGCAGAGTCCAAAGACCAGCGAGCCACTCGGACCTTGTAAGTGGTAAAAGTTGGTAAATGGTTAGTTCATCGTCTACCCAATCACAATCCCAGTATCCCACTAGCGGCCTTTTACGACATGTTAGGCAAGTATCACAGTTAGTGCATTCGTTTCTGCTATATATCCTGCATTTACATGAGACCTATAAGTCTCAGACCAACATACTAGTAATTAGGCAGGACGACACAAATCTACAAACGAATCACTGGCATGGCAGACAGAGAACAGT